TGGCCATAGCGGTCAGAGCAACGATCCCATACAGGAGACTGCCATGCAGGCAGTCAGTAATAGAGAACGTTGGCGTAGAGCTTCCTGATGGTGCTCTGATCCACTGTGGGTACTCTACTTCTACTCGCGTACAGGCCACTGACGTTGATACATTTCTTTCAAAAACCAATAGGGTGTTGCTTATGGGAGATTTCAACGCCTGCCATCCACTATTTAATAACCCTAGACGAAAAAACGCAGCTGGCAATTTTCTAGCCAGATACGTTCGCGACAATGGCCTACTAGTTATGCCCACTTCATTTCCAACGCATTATCCGAACAATGGAATGAACCCATCATTCCTTGACTTCGGAATAGCCAAAGGACTCGCCAATCTCACGGAGATGGTGGTTATAGACGCCCTCAGCATTGACCATTTGCCCATTTACTTCAACATTAGGGATTTAAAGCGCATACAACCTAACGACTTTCGATATTCATACGAGGATTTCGATTTTCGCGAATATCGAAAAAGACTACAAGACTTGACCCGTATTACGAACCGGATCGATACTGTCGAGGCTCTAGAGCGTGCAGTAAAAGATCTGGCAAAAAATATACAACGGACACAGCAAGCTGTGGCTAAAAATGTCCCGAACAGACCGCGGCGTGACAACCTTCCTGAGGAAATTTTGGACCTTATTAATGCGAAAAATAGAATCAGGAAGCGTTGGCAGCGATTCAGGCAATCTGCTGATCGTATAAGGGCAGTAGAGCTTGCACAAGACATCCAGAACGAAATTTCCGCATACGGGAATTTTACCTGGGCGAAAATTTTTTTTTACCTGGGCGAAACTTATCTCCCCGTAACAATTATTTGTGGAAACTGTCGAGACGCCTGCGAAAAGGCTACAAGCAAGTCCCCGCTCTTGAAAAAGAGGGGCGCAGTTACATTACCACCAGTGACAAATGCGAGCTGCTCGCCTACTTTTTGGCGGAAGTACACAAAGTCCAACCAGCCCTTCAGGATAACGAAATAGAAAGACAGACCGCTGTTTTTGTAGAACTATATGTGGTATCCTATACCACCCTCGATTTTACATTCCTATATTACAACCCCGTCGGAGATACAATCGTGTCTTCGGAGACTCCCTAGCCGAAAAGCCCCCGGGACGGACGGCATCCTTTATTTACTCCTCAAAAACTTACCGCGGAAAACTATTGTGCTAATAGTATAAATAGCCAACGTAGTCCTTAAATTGCAGCACTTCCCACAGGACTGCAAAAACGCTGTAATAATTCCTATCTTAAAGCCGGGTAAAAACCCGACTGATTCCGCCTCTTATAGGCAAATTTCCATCCTAAACTCCCTCGAAAGATTAACCGAAAAGGTTATCCTATCGAGACTAGAGGCAGCAGCCGAGCTTTGAAGTTTAATCCCGGACGGGCAGTTTGGCTTTCGACCAAGACACAACACAATGCTGCAGACTGCTAGGATCGCTACGGATGCCTATGCAGCATTTAACAAACTTCAAAGTATGGTAATGCTGCTTCTCGATATGAAAAGGGCCTTTGACACAGTTTGGCACACAGGCCTGCTGTACAAGTTGTTTGCCGTACATTCACTGCCACTCTACCTAGTTTTTCTACTAGCGTCTTACCTAAAAAACCGTCCCATTCATGTGAAAGTGGAGAATTCCACTTCTGCCAAAAGACGCATCGCGGCAGGAGTACCACAAGGTACAGTGATTTTGCCGGTGCTGTATACATTGTATACAGCAGACATTTCAAAACTTTCCACTACAAAAATAGCACAATACGCTGATGATACGGCTATTTACGCTTCGTCGTTTTATGCTCAGGTCGCGAAATCCCGCATTGCACATCACCTGAGTTTATTGACGCCGTATTTCGACAAATGGAAACTTAAAGTGAATCCCGGGAAGACTGAACTTATTATCTTCTCGCGCAAATTCACTAACAATAAAATCCTAGCGCCACTCATGGTCCAAAATACTCCAATCAAGCCAGTAAAAGAGGTGAAATAACTGGGATTCAAACTAGACGCCCGACTCCATTTCAACAAGCATGTTGACTACGTCAAAAGACTTTCATGGCCCGAAGAAAGTTGTACTCTCTTCTAGCGCCAAATTCATTTCTGTCACCCCAAAACAAGCTTCTGCTCTACACCTCCACCATAAGGCCCATACTGACTTACGGCTCCCCTATCTGGCACTCTGTCTGTGATTCCAAGATACGGCGTGTTCAAAGGACCCAAAGTAGGTTCCTGAGAGGCGTCCTATCGGCTGACAGATACGCCACAATAACCGAAATGCACGAAGCTACAGGGATGGCCTATATAGCCGCCTATACAGGGTTGCTCATTAGTGCGTCAAATTGCGATATCTCAGTAAATATGAACTTTACAAGAAAATACGTCCTACGAAAGTTTTTCATGTTTAAAAGGTCCACATTTTAAAATTACTTTCCAAT